AGTCATGGCAAATCTTGTACTTGTAGGATGGATAAGTTATTTATCTGTGAATTTCCTTATCTAGCTTAATACTTGAGAATGGTTGTAAATAAATTTACTTATTATCTTTGCTTTAAGGAAAAAATATTTATGTTGTGGCAATTGTTCCAATTTTTCATGCATTAAATCAAGACAATGAGCAGCACAAAGAGTCCAGTAAAGATGCTTTCTTTTTCCCATTAACATCCTTCCAACAGCTTTATAGACGTTGGCATTATTTGTAATAACTTGAACTATTATACTCTCCCCAACTTCTTCAACAACCTCATCAAGCATTTTAAATAGCAATTGTGCATTTCTTACAAAGGTCAATGCATCAGCAAATTTCAAAAATACCATCCCATAAGGGTTGTTAATAAGAAAATTTATAATACTTCTTTGTCTGATACCAGACCAACCATCTGACATTATATTAACACCTATCTCAACCCATATCTTTTTCACTTAATTTACCATTGTTGTCGTAATTTTAATCTCATCCAACATCCAAGTTCACCTCATACATGCTAGGAAGGTGTAGCCCACCCATAATTTTCAACATAGTGAAGCATATTGATTCATGATGGACTCCTAATCACATTAAATGTGATTCCATTTTCATAAAAAAAATATCTTGCAATGTCTAAGCATACTCTATTTCTATGTTCTTTTGCAGAAACTGGAGGAGGAATTATTTGAGAGTTGGTATTCTCATCTTTATCCATATTCACAACAAATCTATTCATTGATCCTTGAGTTCCTCTGTTAAAAGAAGACATGACTTCCACTGTTGGAACCATCATATTGTGAGCCAAAAAATGAATTATTCCCTATCTTCTCTTCCATATTTCTTTGCGTTGTTTCTTTTAAAGTGGTGTATTCACCTAAAAATTCAAAGCATTCTTTTTTGACTTCATACGACACTTTCTTACATGCTCCAACAATTTACATGTGTGCAAGCGAAGTGATCTTTATGTTTTTTAACACCACCAGTAATTTGCTTGTTACAGAATTTACATTTCTAGTATTCTTTGCACATTCTCCTGGCACTTTAACTTGAGTTACATATTTTAAGCAGTATATTTTCTTCTTACGCCACCCATTCTAAAGAACATATGCAAATGTTTCTTCAAACAAAGCAATCATTTAAAACAATAACTCTATTCATATTATAAGCTACATAAATCAATACATCAAGATCATTTTAATTGAAAATGTAAAGATAATATTGCCTTCTATCTTTCACATTAATGATTAAACAGGAAAATTCATTTTTAATGCAAAAATGTAAAATCAAAATGATTTCGAAAATAAAAGGATAAAATTCATCAATCATTAAGAATTTGATAAATTTTAAAACATAATCTTGCCTTTAAAACATACACTTTATTGACTCCAAAATCGAAATGATAATTAAATTTGTCAAAATATGAAATTACCCAGAAATCTGAGAAAAAAATTGATTGACACCACAAAAAAAAAAAAAAAAAACTCAACATTTATCAAAGTTCAGACTTGACAAAATCATAATCCTGCACACCAGCTTTGATATTTGAGTTAGAATTTTGAAAAATGGATGAAATGGGTGCTTGTTTTGTAAATAGCAATGCCTCTCGGAACCACAACTCCTCAGCTAATTTTAACCTTAATTTGAATTTATTTTGATTGTGGGACTTCTAATTCCTCTTAAAATAATTTGGGAGTAATTTGACACTATCTAAAAGTCTGGGACTAAAATAGCCCCCCCTTAGATAGTAAGGGGTTCATTTTGTCACTTTTTTCTAATTAAAATTTTGCAATGTATGTTGATCACGCATTTCTGGTAGATGATTCGACGTATATTTCCTAATAAAACTAATATGATGCTATTATGCTTTCATGCAAAGAAAAAATGATAATTCATAAATCACACGATAATTAACTCAATAGCTCGGTTTTATTTCATGAAAATAATGTTGCGAATATGGAAACCGATCCACTATTTAAATTGACATTTTCTCATGTTTGACAGCAAATTGGATTTGATACTCGAAATAAATTGCTCTTAATCCCATCTATGATTTCCTGGAGAAGAGAAAATGAAATAATTAGTGGACTTCATTAATTATTTGATTAATTACTTAATGGGCCTAATAGCATGTTGAAATTATAAATAGACATGTTAGCTCATTTTGTTATCTCTCTCGGGATTTGGTTTCCCAAGCTTCTTCGGTTGTTGCTCTCGAGAGGAGAGAGGAGGGAGGAGAGAGAGGAGAGGAGAGGAGAGAGATCGTTCTTTCTTGTAATCGTCGAGTCGATCGACGGGTGTAATCCTCAAGCTAATAAAATACTCTGTAGCTCCGTGGACGTAGGCGATTTGTCGAACCACGTAAATTTGTGTGTTTCCGTTGTGTTTTCTATTTTGCGAGTTTTTCTCGATTCGGTTTTTCGCTTTATTATCATCGTTTTTTATAACAATTGGTATCAGAGCTATGGTTCAAATATGAGGGAAATCAATGGCCAGAGGTAATGTGATGACATCGGAGATCGAGAAGTTTAATGACACAGATTTTGGTTACTGGAGGATGTAAATAGAGAACTACCTCTATGAGAAGAAATTTAATTTTTCGTTAGTGGGAAAACGATCGAAAAAGATGGATTCCCAGTCAGGGAATCAGACTCGGAAGCTAACAGAACTTCCACGAGAGAAGAATGTATTACATAACAAGTGTGTGTACTGGGTGAAAACTGCGCTTGATAGCACTAAGAGGTACAGGGCTAGACTTGTTGAAAGAGCTTTCAGCAGATGCAGAAAATTGCTTATGCAGTGAGAGTTGTATGCAGAAACATGAGTAACCCAGGAAAAAAGGTTTGGAGTTATAAGACTATGTTGACGCTGATATGTGGACTAAGGGTGTTACTCTTGAGAAGTTGAACTTGTGTTCGACTTCAGCTGATCTTCTGACATGAAGACTGGGGCTTTGAGTTGTAGAGGTGGAGGATATCACGTTTGAAGAAAAGGACGACGCAGTTAGTGGATGATGCTGCAAGTGTACCGGTCTCCAAGTAGGAGATTTGTTGCGAATATGGAAACCGGTCCACTGTTCAAATTGACATTTTCTCACGTTTGACAGCAAATTGGATTTGATACTCGAAATTAATTGCTCTTAATCCCATCTATGATTTGCTGCAGAAGAGAAGAGAGAGATTGTTGCTCTCGGGAGGAGAGAGGAGAGAGATTGTTCTTTCTTGTAATCGTCGAGGCGATCAATTCTCAAGCTAATAAAATTTTCTGCAGTTCCGTAGACATAGACAATTTGTCAAACCATGTAAATCTGTGTGTTTTCGCTGTATTTTTTGTTTTTGCGAGTTTTTTCTCGATCCGATTTTTCGCTTTATTGCCGTCATTTTTCCACAACAAATAAGTGATACTAGGATATAAGATCAATTGGTAATGAAATGATTGAAACTGCATGAGAGTTTCAGCAAGCAATCGAAATGAAATAAAAGCTACGAATAAATCAAATTAATTGCCATAACTAAGATTTCTAATCTTTAATTTATATCAGAATCAGGAGCACTTAACAAGCAATATCAAATTGTATAGATAAATTAATACGAAGAACAAATTCATCGAAGTGGAAAAAAATAGATCTCACATGGTACAGGGCCATGACTTCAACTTGAATTAGGTAATAAAATCTGTGCCATGCTTAAAGAAATCAGGCATCCAACTCGCTTTTACAAAATTGAAACTAGAATTTTTTTAGTTTTAATTTCAAGCCTAATATTTTAAATCACAAGACTAATAATATCTATTTATTAACACCTCGTAATAAGCTCAATAGATAAGGTTAGCACACTATCAGTCTCAATTCAAATTTAAATTAAGCCTAAATCCTATCTTAAACTTTTAAAGCAACCAAACAATAATATGTTTATCTTAAATTTGCTAGGTAGTTGAACTACATATCAACCCAAATCCTATTGCCTAGAATAGAATCCTATTTCCTAGAATAGAACCCGTAAACCCACGTGTAGGAACCACACGCTAACCTGGATATCCAGAGGAAAACCCACATGAGGAAACCACCAGCTTATTTAAACGTTTTAACCGAGGGTAAAACGAGGGTAAATCCCAACTAATCATAAAAAATTTAAATCATCACTAAAAAGTTGTAAGCCAATATCAGTAGAATAAAGTTTGACTAAACATGAAAGGCATTGCCAACAGAGTTCTAATCCCCTAACCCATAGCAGGGAAAAAGCGGTAAAACTTGAAATAACCCACAGTGGCAGGATAACATTCCGTCCTGTGGAGTAATTAGCTATAGTGGCTGCAGTACCCATATCCAAACAAACTACACAACCAGTGTTAACCCAATTATTTTCCATAGAATAAAGGAGGATTTACATGTATACCATTCAATTCTTATGTATTTAAATATCTAACACCAAAACTTCAATTTTTACATCTATACCACCTTACCTATGCATGGAAAGGTGTATATCATTATTTAAAAGCTTTAAAAGTGGTATTTTTGGTGTGATATGAAATAGTTGGCTGGTATAAATGTAAAAAAACAAAGTTTTAGGTGTTTGATATGTAGATACACAAGAATTGGTTGGAATGCATGTAAATGCACCATTAACAGCTGAACCGATCCGACAATGAAAAACCTTTAACTACACATTCCTCAAAACGAAACAACACCAAATAAAAGATAATTTAAGGCCAAAAGGCCCAAGATCTACATCCAACTAACTTGTTGGATTATTAAGAGATTAAAAACAATCATTCATGCTATCAATAGCAGTAAACTGCAAATCGGAGGTGGAAAAACAGCAAGAGTTCAAGTTTTGGCTTATCAAATTAGTCAAGAGAACTGACTCGAATTGTAGATTGGCATGAGTTTTCTATGCTGCTTTTCCTCTGTATATTCGAACATTTTTTGTCCTTTTCTTCACCAAAAGAGCAATCTACTAACAACAATTCTATTCAGATGGAAATATCTTCACGTGGGGCTGGGGAGGTGCCAATGGCAGTTTTTTTGAAGAGGAACATTCCTCTGGGGGACAATTGGTGAGCCGTAACTTCTACACTAACTTTGCTTAGTTTAGCATCTGCTATTTTTTCTCTTAAAAGAAAGTTTTGAGATCTCTTTTTTTCTATCCATAGCAAATTATTATACGTTTAGAAAGAGCAAATCTTTCTTATATTGTCTGAAGTCATTCTCATCTGCTTTTCAAACTCATATTCACATGTGCTTTAATTGTGGAATTTTGAATTAAAGTGGCCTGGCGAGACTTGGCTGCAAGTTATTCTTTTTGGAACGTAATTTTTTTTGTTTGGGCATTGAGAATGTTCCTATCCAGTGTAGTTATGGAAGAGAGACTTTGAAAGAATATGGGATCTGATAATTTGCTCCTTAGTTTCCCTTGAACATGGGATGAGTGAGTTTTACATGAAGTTCCGGGTTAAATTCTAAGAAGACGGATAAGACAGTAGATGAGACACTACTCAAATAGTTAGCTATCATTTTGCGAGGGCTTTTAAAATTTAGGGTTGTAGGTTTCTCATAGGCGCTAACACTTATGATTAACTACTCCCGAATAATGAGAGAGCACTTTCGATGAAGACTAGTCATTAGAGAGCTTATTGTTCAATGTATAGTTGCAATTTCTAAGGTTTTAGATTATGAAATTTGTCGCTATGAGCTTAGAGCAATGTTGGGGGGAATGGTTTTGAACTTGATCAAGATCTCACAATTATACCGTCTTGGGTTGTCATGGTTTCTGGCTTGTTTAGTCAGAGAAGATAATCAATCCAACATGAATGAAGAATCTTGTCGACAACCTTGAGTTGCTTTGTCCAAAGGGGATCTTGTAGGCCTAGGGTTGATGTTTGCATAAGGGGAGAAATTTGAATCAATTAGCTAATGGAGGATTTTATGCCATATCAAGTATATCCTATGCTGCACAAATCAAAAGAGCAGAAAACTATTGGGGTATACGAGTTGTAATCATGATCGTAATATAGTGGATCATTTCTTATCAAATCACCCAATTAGAATGCTCAGGTCACACCCACATCTTTTGTGGAGTTGATTGGCTAAGAGTCTGTTTGGGGCAGTTATTGTTGTTTGAAAAAGCAACTATGAAGCAGTTGCTTTAAAAGAAACTGATTTTCAAAAAATTACGATGACTATTACAAATTTATTTTATTTTCAAAATATCAGACCGCAACTTTTTAGTAGCCATTACACTTTAACAGCTCTGATTGAAGAATCAGTTTTCTATTATAGAAATTTGTAAAAAAAAAACAACAAGAAAACAGTTTACAAAACAAAACTGTGGTGGTGATTTGAAAAACAAAACAGATAGAAAGTGGTCCCAAACATTCCTTAAGTCGTGCAGACTGAGGACTTAGGTCCAGTCTTCACTGCATAAGATTATTTGATTGTGAATATAGTAATATATTTTATATGACATTAGCTTCCTATGTGCTTAAGTTGATGTCCAATTTATCACACTCAACAAACGACTGTCGAGGGTGGATGGATGAAATTTTGTTTTAAACTTTAGTTGATATAATCACATTTGAATATTTCTTTTTAGCTTTTATGATTTAAAAACTCAATTTAGGAAAATAGATTTTTTTTTCAAGTTGAGATTTTGGGTGTGTTTGGGCGGCGATGTGGTGTTGCACCACAGTTTATTCTGTTTGGTAAAACTACGTTTTATTTGCGTTCTTAAAAAAACTGCAGCTGAAAGCTGTATTTTTTCATCAAATCTAGCTACCTGTGGTGGCTGCTAAAAAGCTGCGGCCTGACTTAAAAAAAAACAAATTTATAATAGTTATAACAAATTTTTGAATAACAGCCTGACTTCACAACTGTTTTTTAAATAGCCGCTAATGCCCCCAAACAAATCTGTACTATCAAAACTACCATTATCGGGGTTTCATATGCGAAATTCTTTAGTTTTTGATTTAACTTAATATTTATATACACTAAAAATATTAGCTTGTCAATTTTTTACTGTGTGATGGATCTGACGGATTTAATAGAGGCTCAGTCCTATCATTTCCAACCCTTGAGAGGTCTGACTGGTCAGAGTGGAACTTGCGACCTCACCTTATAGACAATTTACTATATTTTTTAATTTACTTTTTGATAATAAGGTTTTTTTCCTTTTCATGGCTTGAAAATATGTGAATGCTTGATGCGGGTATATGTTTAATCTAAACTTATTTTCTTTCCCAGGTAGCATTCTCAAATCATTTATTTAGACATTTAGTGCATTTGTCGAAGCACAGATGGGCTTTTGGTTTACACTTTAGGGACAAGCATATTAAAAAACAAAACTGTGCGGTTTTTAAAATACTTGACGAACTTTGACGTGAGTCACATTTTAGCTTAAATTTATATTCACTTCATGCTATATTTTTAGATCATAAAATAGAACGTTTATTATATTGGTGGAGCATATGCATGAATTTTAAACTCATTAATTTGGTTGACTGATATTAGAGAACATTGCATTCCTTTTGAGACGAACTCTAATTTAACTTAAGCTAATATTTAAAGCCTGTAACATTCTCGAACTGTGTTTAAATGTTTAGCATGGTGATTAGAGCACATGCGGGCTTTCCATTTTGATGATATGCACACATCTCAATGCATCTGCATAACGTACTTGTACAATTTTGGATGCATTGAGCTGCAGTTGCACGTCTTTTAAGGCTTTTTTGACAAATCTCTTTCATGATGTGGACGACTTGATACTAGAATTTTATTATTTTCCCTAATATCTTATTATTGGAATGCGTGCATGATATGAAAGTGACTGAATTTTTTTATTTTTGCAAGTTTATATTCATCGCTGAAATATGTGCAATATTTCATTTTGATCTTGAGCGTTCGTCTTCTGTCCGCTTCTAGATAAGCGTTGCATATTCGCTGATGATTAAGGCATTCCAGATTTCCCTTTAGCTTTTAGACATTCATCCACTCATAATTGGTTTTCTTTCGAGTATTCAACTAGATCTTATATTGAACTTCGTTTGCTTTCAAACATAGGTTCTCGCTTGGTCACTTTTAAATAAAATTATAGATCATAACCCTGATTATTTTGAAAAACAGTGAGAGGCTATGTCCCAGCTCATTGAACTAGCGGTCAAATTTTCTGCTGTCAAGTCCACAATGGAAAATGTTCTTGAGTGTTTATGGAGAGCATTTTTTTGATGCTTGTTGGCAAAGATAACAAGTTTTACAAGCCTCATGTTTTTCTTGTATATAGTAAATTTGGTGTCCTTGGATCTCATAGAGGAGTCTAGAAGTTTACAAAAAGGTATTGCTCTTACTTTTTGACGAGATGTCAGGTCCCTTACATGTTTCATTCGTGTTGATTAACGAGGTATTGGGGTCCAATTTTGTGCTCAACTCTTGCTCACAAACAAGCTATTATGTTCATTATATGCCTATTGTAAGTTTTTATAATCGGCCAACTTCTTCTATTCAATGCCTATTACACGAAACTTTAAATGCTCGTTTTAATCTTATGTTGCATTTGGCTTCTTGGTTAAGTTTTGATATTCAACAGATTAACTTAATTATATTTTATGCAAGCTCGTTCACTGTAAAATTTATCATCCTTCTGACATCTCCCCCATGTAGGGGGAGTAATTGAGAGTCCTCCTCACCCACATATAAGATGAACATGGTTGGTATTTTATAACACCATCGTCACGTGTTTTCTAACCTACCCGCTTAGAAAGCATGCATAAGTTTTCAACTACTTGCACGAGATAAATACAAGATTTTTCTTGCCTTGTTTGCAGTGCACAAATGAATAGTTAGAATTTTTAAATTTTTCTTGTTGTGTTAGACAATGCTCACGGATAGGGCGAATTGGATGGAGGGCTCCAGAGGAATTGAGGGGAGGCTACGGGAGAGTATTTGGCATATTTGACAAGCAAGACTAAGACAACATGGTTGTCATTTTCTAGGTAACTTTGACGCTCTGTAAGCGTTCACATGATCAGGTTTTGTGAATGGAGAGCTCATTTTGACCATTTAGATTACAATCAAGATTATTTGAGCCCAATTCGAGCGTCGTCGTCCTAACTCATCTTTATTCATTATGCTTACTCCTTTCAAATATAGAAGGCATCTTATTGAGTAATTGTGATGCTCTCAAGGCATTCGTTTCATAAACAAAGATTCATTGGGTACCTTGACAACACTCGAAGTAATTTGGCTCTATTTTATGCAACGAAGTTTTTGAAGTCCGTTGTATCCATTTAGGAGTCACTCTTGTATAATTTCGGTATTCTGAACATAGTGGAATGGTTCATTTTGCAAAGGTATATTGTCTGGGCAATTTCAACAGCCATCGAGGCATCTCAACTTTGATTCACATGACGTCTCGTTCTTCATTTGCTGTTTTTATCGAGATCGATCAAATCTTCTTGTAAGATATATATGGAGGTCAAAACAGAAAAGCATATATATATATATATATATATATATATATATATATATATATATATATATATTTAGAAAAGCTTAAAGGCGAATATATTAATAAAAGGAAAGGTACAAATAAGTTGGATGAAAGGTACAGACATGTAAACAAAAAAAAATCAAGATTAAAATGTAGATATAGAAATTGTACGCCAAAAGTTTGCCAACACTCCCAAATTTAGTTAGCTTGCGAATGATCCAATTTGGTCTTGTCTCTGCCTCTCGTTCTAGAACGAGAGTAAGCTAACAAAATGTTAAGTTTGTTGTCATTACCCGAAACAACCAATGTGTCATCCATCAAGTTTGTTAGTTGACCTTCATTCTTCTTTTTCCTAGATGTGTAAACCTGTCAATCCTCATCCGAAGATTGACTCATCTGATTAGTGCATTGGTAAGATTGCCTGATAGGTGTAGGTTGTTGCACATCTTGAGCCACATGAGCTTGACAAACAGTAACAGCTTGCTCGATCTGATGAGGCGGTAGAGATGCAGCAGAAATATTGACACTCGTTACATCTAAGATAGGTTTTAGGGCAGGTGAAGTATGAAATGTCTG